TATTGCTGTAAATTTGATTGATTGGGTATTGATTGAGATGGTATTGTTTGGTTTAGGAGAGGAATTTATTGAAGGTGATTTCTAGATAGTAAAGTGGCATACCAATTCGTTTAGTCAAGGTACGTACGAATTACGAAACCTTGCTTTTAGGTGCATGTTTAAGGACGGATCAAGAACTTAGTATCATGTAGAGGGATGACTGGGTTAAATTGTTTGGTTATACATTGTGAATTTTCGTATGACGTGCACTATTCTATATTGCACGTATTGTTTATGCTCTAATTATGCAAGGTGCACTTAGAGGCAAAGGTATGTGATTAGTGAAATGATTAATTTATTACTCATTCATGATTATGGAAACAGAATGAGTAAAGGAAGAATTTAAGTCTTATATGACGAGGTTAAGTTTGTGGGGTGCCTTATGCACTCAAGGTGTTTATACACCGAGGTAGTAAAGGATTTAACAATAAATGTTGCTTGTCACTAATAAATCAAGAATTGAAATTTGAAAGTTTACTTTACTTGATTGAACTGATAGTGGATTGATTGTATTGTTTGCATATGAGTCATCACCAAGTCTAAACTTGTAAATAACGTAAAGTGCAAGATGGATAAGCAATAAAACTCTGGATTGGTGCACATCTGGAGTAATGACAATCAGGGGTTGGGGTACACGGGGTATTAGCCGTGCACTTTTCTCGAGGCCATCTGATCTACTAATCTCTTATTTCAAATATTTTTCAAAACTAGGAGTTAGGTGAGATCTCATACTAACTACGGTCACGGAGTCGCGCCCGTGGTCGTTGGATGTTTATTGATGTTTCCGAAAGGAGGCATGGGGTTTTTCTTTTATTGATGTTCCAAATGGAGCATGGGTTGGACAACTTTGTCTATTGCTTAATCCAATGAAATAAATAAATAAATAAATAAGTTAGCTACTATCAACTAGTGAAGACTTAATAAAATTGATAGTTGAGTCGTGTGTTGAGTCTATAATTTAATGATGCATGATGTTTGATTATTAGTAGCATGTTAGGGATTTTAAAGTTATTTCGCAACTTGTATGTACTCAGCTTTGCTGATTGCGTGCTTTTGTGTGTGTCTTTATTTGGTCATGGCCTTCGCCTTTCAATGACCCTGTGACGATCCAATCTTTACACTTGTAATATTGGGGAGCAAGACTCATCACAGGCGTTTACATAGTTTGGGCTTGCATCAAGGTGGTGGGATTTTGAGTGGAGAGTTGGTTATTATTCGCAGTTTAATTCCTTTCATAAGTTTGACTTTATTTAAACTCTGGTTTTATTTATTTACTACTTTTGTGGGGCTTTGAATAAGGGCCTTAATGGTTCCAAGTTGTAAGATTTAATTTGGTTTTGGTTATTGGCTTTGAAACTTATTTATAACTGAGTTAGTTTTTCCGCTGTTATTTTATGATAAAGCCTTAACGTTTGAACATGTGGCGGTAGCACGCCACTAATTCTCTTGAATATTGTTCAGGGTCCTCACAGGTTTAAAGAGAGAATTATTGGGGTGTTACATATAGATTATGTAAATGAGTTACTAGTTTGAGGGGTGTGCACAGTTAGGTTGGGAAAATTGTTTATGAAATGGTTGATTATTATACCTTTATTGAAAAATACTTCAGAGAATTATAAATGTTGGGATGTTTTCCCAAATATGAAATCTTGCCTATGGAAAATTCGAATAACCATGTTTTATGAGAATTATATATTTCGAAAGAGTGTTTAATCAACTAAACTAATTTACGTGTTTAGCACTTATATGTACTTAGCATTTTGCTAACGCATATTTCTCTTTTGTTTTGGCTTGACCCTACTTAAATGATAAGTAGATAGGTGATGACGATGACTCAACGTGAGCTAAATGTTGCATCGGGGATGAAGGGAAAAATCACTTAATTAGTCTAGGTTCACTATTATGAATTAGTATGAGTATCATTTGGATTTATTTTTCAAAAAGATTTATGTTTCAAAAACTATTTCTATTTTCAATTAATTAATGAAAACTAAGATGTATTTCTTCCATTGCAAGTCTCTGTTTTTAAATGCATTACGTTATCACGTGCGCGGTAATTCTCCTAAGCTACTCTCTTAATCATGTTTTATATTGTTATTATTGGAGAGTAATTTGGAGGTGTTACAAAGTGGTATCAGTTTTCGGGTCTTAAAAAGATTAAAATGGGAAAATAAAACTGATTGGTAGACCTAAGAAGAGTATATAGGAGAGTTGCGCATTGTGTTATGTAATTTAAAAAAAAAAAAAACTACTTTTTATTTTAATTTGAATAAAGATTAATAGTGGGGATTGTTGGATTGGCAATGAGCTCTGGTTAGGCAGGACTTGGGCTCAGGGCGGTGTCGACCCTAACCTCTCCTACTTGGGATCTCATTATTTGCCCAACTAATTCACATTATGGATCAATTATTCAACTTATAACTATATAATAGTTTCGAAATTAAAAAGTTTGAAACGTATTCAAAAATGATTTCAATCCTTACGTGAATTATGTGCATATGGAGTCCAAACTATATTTTTAAAGTATAAGGATCAAATAAAATTTCAAAATACAACAAGATTAATACAGATGAAAAAACACTAAGTATGTTGAAAACCCTAAACACAAAGCCATATTCATAGAAATATATACGAGCAGTTTTTTTAAGTAATTTCAGCATTACAATTGGGGTGCGAATTGGAAGGTATCTTTGTTATGGTGGTGGCAAAATATGCTCTAGGGCAGCCGTAAAACACGTCACAACTTATATGAGATCTACAATTAATTATCCCAATTTTGCCTACTTTCACTATTATTTTCATGGTTTTAACATCTTTATTTGTTACCGGTTTTACCTTTTGCATCATTCACATAACCCACTTGTACCAACGTTAATGATTTAAATGTAAGAACAAATATACTTTGAAACCATATGAATGAAATCATCAATGTATAATTAATGAATATCACTTATTTTTTTCCCTTATTAGGTAGTATATTCCAAGTTCCAACAATGTGTTTACATTGTAAAATTTATTGAACGATAATGGCTTCAATGAGGGAAACCTTTCTTTAGGCCCCGTTTACTTCACCTTATTTTTGCTGAATTGAAATTATTTTTACCGAGACAAAATTATATTTGCTGAACTTAAATTATTTTTAATGAACTGAAATTAATTTTACTAAACTGAAATTATATTGCTGAACTGAAATTATTTATTTACTGATATTCTATTATAGTTCTTCTTTAAGATAACTGAATTTTACTAAAATGAACTTATTTTTACTGAATTGAAATTATTTTTACTGAACTGAAATTAATTTCACTAAATTGAACTTATATTTACTGAAATGAAATTATTTTTACTAATATTTTTTTTAGGGAAGTGAACAGGGTCTTAATTTGTACCAAAAAATCCTTCATAAAACAATAGAGTTAACTATACAAATAGGCCCTCAATTGTTACATTTTCACCCTTTGGGTACTCAATTTTTTCTTTTTTTTTTTTTACTCTTTGGATACTCAAACCCAAAATCCAGCCACTTAACTATCATCTAACTCACCGTTAACCACATGTAATTAAATATTAATTAAAATTAATAAAAAATACTACATTAAATCAAGTAATCAATTTCCAAAACAACTAGCCATTGAAGGCTATTAAAAAACGTACACATTAGCAAAAAAAGGTAAAAAGAAAAACAAAAAAAAGAAGCAAAAATTAATCCTTTGTAATCCAAAAAAAAAACATAACAGTTAGCCAAACTTTAAAGCAAAAATTCCAGAAAATTAGTCGAGGAACCCTTCCCCTGTTTTGCTATCCAAAACTTCATTCTTGATTAAACCCTAGCGCAAATTGTTCAACAAAAACCCACAATTTAGCGACATTAATCACACATAGCAAAAGAATACTACACTATAAGCACAAAATCTAGGCAAAATCAACAAAAAATCACCATGTCCCTGTCGTTTTCATCCCCCAAAAAAACTCAAACTCGTAATTTCTAATGTTCATCAACAATTCGATTAAAAGAAAACGGTGGAGGATGATGAATCAAAAGCCGAGAAATGGAATCTAGGACTTGTAAATGATGGTGGAGGATGATGAATCGAAAGCCGAAATGGAGGATGTCGTGGAGCTTAGGAGAACCCTAAATTTGTGTGTAATGTGAATAAAATTTAGGATAAAACCCTAGATTGAGAAATTGAAATTAGATGATGAAAAAAAGAATTAAAAATTTAACTCATAAACTGCTTTAGTGGAGAACGTTGAGTGGCGCTTCAATGGAGAATGTTGGGTGCGCTTCAATGGAAATTGAGAAATGTTTAGGTTTGATTCAGAAAAGGGGAGGAAGAAGAAACAGTTTTGGGTGGGCCCCACATCTTAACCCAAGGTACGCAAATGAGCCTTTTTCTACTAGTGGTATATACATATATATATATATATTATATATATGTATATTATATATACATATATATAATATATATATGTATATACCACTAGTAGAAAAAGGCTCTTTTGCGTAGCTCATTTATGGTGTATTTACGTCGCTTCTATAAGCGACGCAACTGCTCGCGACACAAATGATTTAAAAGTCATTTGCGTCGCTTCTAGGCGCGACGCAAATAAGAGTCATTTGCGTCACTCCTTTATAAAGAAGTGACTCATATAAGAGTTATTTGCGTCGCTCCTTTATTAAGGAGTGACGCAAATAGCTGTTCTGAGAAACTTCTTGTTTGTTATTTGTGTCACTTGTTTATATAGGAGTGACGCAAATGACTGACTAGACAATACAAAATTGCTTTATTTACGTCACTTGTTTGTTTAATGAGTGACGCAAATGATGTGAATTTTTTTTTTAATTATAATAATTGCTTATATATGTTTGTAGTACATATTTTCCTTGCTAGTGGTATAAAGTAATATGCTAACGCCAATAATTGAAATTAAAATGCAATATTAATGAATGCAAATGTAAATTTCGGTAGAGTCTCCTTTGTATTTTGGCCTACCCATAAAATTGGGAATGACGACATTATATTAACAACCTGTCCAATAATTTACATCACAATATCATAGACATTATACTCATTATCCCAACACCAATTAACCAAAATCATTCATGTCAAGCCTATAATCCAAAACAAGAGTCCAACATACGCTAAGTGTAAATCTAAAGTTCGACATTACATATAAAATACTCTGCCAAATATCTCGAATCTCATTTATCTCCTCCTCGGTATACGGTGTAGTTCTTGAAAAATCCTATCAACACAACAAATATACAAGGGGAAAGTTTTAATTCAAGATTGTAGCTAACATCAAATTGTATTTATCAAACAAAAATGAAATATTTGACAACTCATACCTTAATTGTTTGTCCACAACCAGAACCTCGAGCAACTTGTGGAATTCACTTTCGCATAATTAAGAATCTGCCATAAAAAAATTACATATATTAAACCAACATAGTTTTTTTTTTTAGAGAATTAAACCAACATGGTTTTTTTTTTTTTTTTTTTTTTTTTTGAGGGAAAGATAGCAAATATTATTAAGAAAATTAAACTAAGTCCAAATCCGCTAAAGTTAAGATACTTTGCGGGAAGGGACCCAAACGAACAAGCTCCAAAGCATCCCCCGTCTCCCATCTAGCTACTAGGTGGGAGACGGTGTTACAAGAACGTTTAACATGCGAAAAAATACAAACATTACATAAAATGCTATATGTAGACACCCAAATGTATCTCCCCAAAATCAAACCCAGTGATGAATACCTTTCATGTCATTGGATTATCGAACAAAGCGAAAGTGTGAAAAGTCTAGTGATGAGGATGTTTTTATTAATATATCTCTTCTTTTTGTTTTTGAAAATATTTCTTTTCTTACCCTATTTTTGAAAAAACGTGCATTTTCTAGTTTAGTTTGGTCCATGATATGGGTCCAATAATGGTGTAGTTGGATGGGTCTTGAAAATATCTTTCCAACGATATATTATAAGCCCAATTCCGATGAATAATGAGAAAGTTATGGCCAAAATACTAAACTGGGCCCAAACCGGATTTTATCTACGACCCAATGATCATGTGGAGGGTCCAAAGGTTTAATCCTATTGCTAAACTAATTAGAATTAATCAAAAGCTTCTATAAATTTTTAAAAAGATCTTAATTATCCTTTTTGAAAAGATAAGATTAAAGAATTTGAGTTAAATAAAACTTTCCTTTTTTAAAACTTTCCTTTTTCTTAAATCCTAATTCTATTCGAATTTAAAGATCTTCAAAGACAGATTTTATTTTCTTGCCTCATAATATTTATCCAAATTTTATATGGTTGGATAGATCTTGAAATTATCTTTCCAATGATATATTATAATATTAAATCCGAGTTATAACGAAAAAGATATGAATGAGATATGAAACTCTATCCAAAACTGACACCTTCCACTATTTCGGTCATATCTTTTTATCTACAAAAGATTTTAATCTTATTCTAATTGGGTTAGAAATTAGATTTCAAGATCTTTCCAATGACATATTATATACCTTATTTGGATTTCTAGATCAAAAGATATGATAAAAACAAAATCCGCAAAAACTGCTATCTACGAGTTCTATTTCGATTCGAATTCGGATTCTTTTCTTATTCTTTGACCCTCTTTTTTCTCTATAAATAGAGGTCATATATCCCCTTTTTCAATCATCAATTTTTATCAATCATCATCAATTCTCATCAATTCTTATTCTTTCTAATTCTCACCAACTCTCATCAAGAATTTCTTGATTCTCTCCAACTCTTTTACAAACACAGGTCCTCATACATTAGCACTAGACATACCTAGCCAAGTTCGAAGTTGCCTTCGCCCTAGACGTGAAAGGTTTTAATTTCTGAGGGTTTGGTCCCAAATCTCTCTTTCAATTATTTAATTTAATTGTTGTTTTATTATTTTCCTTGAAGTTACCAACGTGTGTATTTTGTTATTAGAAAGAGATACGAGGCATCCAAGTAATTGCTTTAGTAGTTTGCATTGTTATTATGATATAGAAATCATGATTAGATTATTTTATTGATTCCTAGTATTATGTTAGGATGTTTTTCTTAATTTGATATTTAGAATGACAACAATAAGTTCCTAGTATCATGTTTAGGGTAAAGAATATGATGTCAGTTATGATTTCTATGATGCCTTTTATTGTCTTTTCTAATAGCATGTTAGTATCATATTAGGGTTAAAACTTTGATCTTTAATGTTTAGTGACATGTTAGGGTTTGTTATTAATCTTGTTAGTATCATGCCTAGGATCTTGCTATTATTGTTATGATTATGATTATTATTTTTATATTATTATTATGTTGCTTGATTTATATTTATTGTTATTGCTTGATCACGCCTTTTATGCATGTTTAATCTTTTTTAGGGTTAATATGATTATAATTCAAGTGATCGCCAATAATAGTTTATTTGTGCATTAATATTCAACCAATATAGATAAACAGGTTTAGGGTTAAACCTATTGATTGCATGTTAGTCAGAAAGCGCACATGAATACGATCAGAGTAAAGTAGAGGCCTATTATTAGGGCAGGTTCAATCTCTTTTAGCTTGGATTTGTACCTTCATCCCCGAACTACCAGTCATGGTTCCAGACCTATTGGAGTTGACGATCTCTTGGATTGTTAAGGGGTGTAACCTTCACCTTGTGAACGGTTTACAAGTTCCTAAAACTTGTTGGCGACTCTTTTGCTCTAGCTTCCTTCTCTTTGGACGCCATCGTACTTTAGTGTATGATCACAGTGGGGTTCAAGCTAGGGATAATGCTTGAAATATTCCCTACAGTTTTTGGCGACTCCACTGAGGAGGATTTCTATTTTAATTCCTGAAATTTATTTTGGCAATGATTTAGAATGAGTGGATGAGACTTGAAAAGTTCTAAGTATTTCATGTGCGTAATTTTGATTAACATTGTTGTCATATGCATAAAAAAGATCTCATTGGAAAGACCATCCGTAATGAGTTAAAACATAGGATTTTTACACGTAGGAAATTTGAGGAATATCTTTCACAACTAGGACCGAAATAATGCTGCGCGAAACTGGAAAATTTTATCGAGCATAGAAAGCTGCTGAAGCATGTAGGAACTAGCGTTAGGAAACAAAGTCTAGCGCCAGTTATTTGACTATAGCGCCAGGCGACAGCTTCTGCTGCCAGGCGCTAAAGCCAAATTGTGGCGTCAGCCTCTGTTTGCTGACGCCAAGTTCTTCCAATACTGAGCCAGAAATATGCGCTCTAATTTTGACCAGTTTTTAGCACTGTTTGCTCGATCCTACTTCCTGATTGTGGTTGTTACTTCCCGATTGTGGTTGTTGTTCAACCAAGAAGCCAAAAAAACAAAATATTAAAGCAACAAACCTGACAAATTGACAATAGCTGTTATGCAACCTTAAGGTACACCATGTTGTAAGCTCTTCTGATCTATGTGACTATGTAGACAATATGCTGTACTTTTTTAGAGAAGCCGTAAATGCTAGGTAGAAACTCACATTGTTCCATAAAAACATACTTTGTATTTCCTCCCTTCTTTTACCAGATTTAGTCTATTCATTCTACATATTGTAGAGGGTACATAAGCATATAGAAACTTCTGTTGATTTTCCTCTATATATTTAAGTTTTTCCATTTGCAAGTAAGCATGTTAAACAAGAACAAATAAATCAATTGAATTCCACGAGTCTTTCTTTGTATATAATTCGTGAAAAAGTATACTGTTATAAAATAGAGAGAAATATAAGAGAGATTGATAGAGAATATATCAGTGTATTTCTATTTCATATAATGGGGAAATATATATATACAAACAATATAACTAGGGTTTGCTTAGATAACAATAAACTCTAGTTCTAGAACATTCTGAAATGATAAAGAAGGATAATGGATATCCATACCATATTTCATAACACTCCCCCTTGGATGTCCATTATCGAAGATTGTGCCTCGTTAAAACCTTATTAGGAAAAACCCTGTGGGATAAAAACCTAATGAAAGAAAAAGAGCACAACATTCTTCGTAATACGCTCGAGATGCTGCCTTATTAAAAACCTTACCAGGAAAACCCAATGTGGGACAAAACCATGGTCAAAGGAAAAAGAGTGCAGCGTGTATTTTCTTCCCCTGATGAATACATAACTTGAGATCTTCTAGTGTCGCAGCAATGAATCCAATATATTGGATATCTTCTAATAAGTTGGTAAAATATCACTTGTTGATCTTCGATCCTCCTAAATTGAAATTGCATCTTCAAGTCTCTGGACATGTAAAGTGTCTTCATTTTCACCATATATGTGTTTATCTCTAATATCACCATTCCAAATATCTATTTAATAGTTGATTAAAAAGGTTAAACTCATGCGGTTATGACTTCTTCTGGAAGTCGTTAATAATAAATATTATTGGTGATCATTATTTGATTTAACATTCATTAATAATAATTTGATGACAAAACTTGATATTATTAATGTCATTCTTCAATCTCATATGAATTATAATATAACATATGTAATTATGTACGCTAATCATGGTTCTTCTGGACCATGAGAAAACATTCTTGCGCATAAGTATTCCATTGATATTATTTAGATGTTTCATGATTGACATGATAGCTCTCTTGTAAATACAAATAGTAAATCTTACTAACTCTCATATGCTCAAACTTCAGGTTGAAATGTCAATAATGTAGTCACATAGACTTTTCAAGAGTTTGATAACAATTGCAATATTCAAGACATAAAAATTTGTAGGGTTGGGCATTTAATACGTCGTATATAAGTTCTTCAGGAACTCCTTTTACATGATTCATAACATGTTATTAAATAAGTGTCATCAATAATTTCATTACAATTATAAGCCCATTGGAATATAAATATCTCTTTCTAATTTTTCATCAAAGTTGTAAATATGTCTTACTATACTTTGAATGAACATTCACAAACACCACAACCATTGTAAGAAATTAATCCATGCAATATGAGATATATAAAACATGATAACATATTAAACAAATTATACAATGAGTAATGCATCTAACTTCCTACATATGCAATAAACCATTAACCTATGACTCACATGCACATGAATATAAGACTCAAAATGATGCAAGACACTGTACAGTGTGGATTTAAAAATCCATATTATTTAGGGTAATTTTACCCCGCCACGTGGTCCAACCAGAGGACGACACGTGTCAGCTTCAGGTTGGCCCAAAGTGGACCAATCTCTGCCGGACACGTGTCACTCCAGAATTTAAGGGGAAAAAGGGCAGCTTTTAGGCCCAAATCCCGAGAAAGCCGCAAAGCGGCGCAGCCCACCAATGATTAGGGTTTAGTGACCTAATCAGGGGCACAAATCCCAAAGACCCTATAAATAGGGAGATGTCCCTCTTTTTGA